CGTGCCGCACACATACACACACACACACACACACACACACACACACACACTTCCTTTCACTATCCCTGAACTATTACACACTATTGCAAAAGCACAACACAAGAGTTTTTTTTTTTAATTCTGATTGATTTTATGAAATGTTTCTATTCCAGAAAAGTAATTCATATGATTTTATAACTGACTCTAATGAGGTCAGTGATGCTTAGAATTATCTACAGTGGGTTTAGTAGGGCTGACGGACTACAAATAGACTAGACTAGACTAGACTAGAATAGAATAGAGCAGGGTTTGCCAAACTGCAGTTTGGGGAAAATGCAGGAAGTTTGTTAGTATTTATTTTTGGTTTATGTTAATTTATCATTTCTATTATTTTGTTTTTAGATTTACTTCTGGTATTCTTATGTTAATTTTTATTCTATGTGTGGAGTGTCAAAAATGAATGTAAAATGAAAATTATTTAAAAGTAAAAGTAATAAAAATAAAATATATTAAATACAATTATATATATATATATATATATATATATATATATATATATATATATATATATTAGGGGTGTAACGATACACGTATTCGTACTGAACCGTTCGGTACGAGGGTTTCGGTTCGGTACGCATTACAAACCGAACGATTCGTTGGACTACTCCTATTACATTTGGAAAATAAAATAAAGTGTGTGAAATATAATGTTCTCAGTGCCACTGCCCAAACGACGTAACAGCCCCCAAAGAAAAACACACTGCTCCAGTCAGGCGTAGGCTGGACTAGATCCTTCATTGCAATATGTCTAGTCACTAGGGCTGGACAATAATGTTATATCAATATTTATGGCAATATCATTTTTTTCAATAACGGTGATATGAGTTTTAAACACATTTCCGATATTTTGATACACATTACCAGTTTCCCATACATTGATTTATTTGTGCCGTTTGACTTTGTTGAATAAACATGAGCACTGCACATTTCAAAATCATAACACGGCGCGGGTGTTTTATATGAATGTATCTCTGAAGGGAAGACTGTCTTCAGAAAAGTTTCTATGGCATTTTCATTTTATCTGATAAAGCAGCGTTCATGAGCCCGGCACTGCTTTGTGTACAGCCGTTACCAGGGAAACCACTGTTACTACCGCTCCAGAAGCGCCTCCTGCTGGCAGAAAATGGAGCCCGTCTCCAGAAACATGTTTTTGTTGTTGCTCACTCTTTGATTTTTTTTTTCTGCAGCAACTCATATTCTTTATCTTGGCTGAAGCACTTCTCTTTCAATCTATAAGAATAATCAGCCTATGTTATAGTTTAAAGTTAAATATATTAATATTATTAAGGTGAGCCTTAACAAAATAAGGAGATAAACACACTCTACAAACTATCCCCACAGCATTTAGGCAGGCATTTCCAACTGATTCAAACAGGGCAAAACAAATCACTGTAACAAATCATGATTACAAAATTTTAAAAATCAAGGAAATTTCTCTGGCATGTCTTTCTTTTTGCTGTATTGAAAATGTACCGAACCGTGACACCACTGTATCGTATCGAACCGAACCGTGAATTTTGTGAACCGTTACACCCCTGATATATATATTATTTGTTAATTGAAATATGTTTTGAAAACATACTATATTACAGTAAATCTATTTTAGAAAAAAATATATTTTATATCTGCATGTCATGTGATCATTAAATGGCATCAGAGAACTATGAATATGCAAATATGTTGTTAAATGATTGAAATATTAAAGGGGTCATATGATGTTGCTAAAAATAACATTATTTTGTGTATTTGATGTAATGAAATATGTTTATGCGGTTTAAGGTTTAAAAAACACATTATTTTCCACATACTGTACATTATTGTTTCTCCTCTATGCCCCGCCTTTCTGAAACGCGTAGATTTTTACAAAGCTCATCGGTCTGAAAAGCGAGGTGTGCTGTGATTCGCCAGCTATCCAGTGCGTTGTGATTGGCCGAATACCTCAAGCGTGTGACGGAAATGTTACGCCCCTTGCCACATTGTGATGCCTTGTCCCGGCCGGAGTGATGAGACACAAACATTAAAACCCATTATAAACGAGGCATTTGTTGCATCCAGACATAATTACGACATAATTACGGATTATAATGACTTATACTGTCTTTTTACGCGTTGCACTGCATCGCGCTGCGTAAACATAAAACCATGTCTGCATTTGTGATCGGAGAAATTACAAACTACAAACGCTACTCTACACTGCTCAAAACTCGCGTTTGAATCGTCAGTTGCAAATTCTTTATATATAAAAAACTTACTTACAGGCTGTGAGTCAGAACAGCCGGCACTGTAGTCTACTCTTCCAGGATCAGGAAATAGTCCTCCATAAAATGTGCTGCACACATCTGAATATTTGGGTTGAACTGTTCTGGAACGGTGTTGTAAATTCAACTTAACCACTGATTTCTAGTCGTGTCCTCTTTTGGAAGGCCAAACAAAGTAGTTTCACTTTCACAACAAAACACAGCGTCACACACGGCGGCCTAGAGTGAGTGGAGGCCAGAGGCCTAAAGTGAGCAGAGCCTAGAGTTAGCGGCGGCCGGCTTGAGTGAGTGGCGGCCGGTGGGCTTGAGAACGGTGCGGCGGGCGGGCTTGCGGCAACCACATGTGACGACCCCGGGCTGGACTCCACTTCGTCCATGGTGAAAGCCGATCCAGCGATCCACAGCGCGAAGTTGATGTATTTCCTCAGTGACCAGCACGAATCAGCTCCAGGCATGACGAAGCGGATATCGTCCTCTTTTGGAATGCCAAACAAAGTAGTTTCGCTTTCACAACGAAACACAGTGCCTTCACGACATGGCGGGGGCAACAACAATACTACAGCGAGAATAAAAGTTATGCCTTCTTTCTTTGCGTGAACATTTGGGCGGCGTTATGCAAATCTTCCCACATTGTAGACATGTTAGAACGTGTTAGAACGAGCTGTTTTAGGTAGGCGTGGTTGACTCTTAACTTTTATAAACTTTTATTTGAGACTTTAGTCTTTGCAACTTTACAGATCTTCTTTATGCACCAAGAGCTTGTAACACTTCAAAGAGAAAGGAAAAATTTTAATCGCATCATATGACCCCTTTAATAAATATTTAATATTACATTTTAATAAATATTTATATATGAATAAATATTAGGGGGGAAAGTAAATGTATACGTAAATATTTAAATATATACAACATAAAAGTAAATGCAAAAAAATTATTAAGTTAAAGGGGTTCAGCTGACTAAAAACATTTGCTTTTTACATTTAATTAGGAAATAAACTTAACCAGAAAATTAAAAAGTTTGGGAATTCTGGAATAGTAATAAAAACCGAACTAAAGAACAATCCTCTACATAGAAGAGTAGAGTAGAGTAGAGTAGAGTAGAATAGAATAGAATAGAATAGAATAGAATAGAATAGAACTAATAATCAAGTCTACACTCAGTAGCGGAGCACAATATAGAATCAAACAGGACAGAACAGAAGGGAATAGAATGGAATTGAATAAAATTAACAAACATGTCTACCTTCAGTAGAAGAGTAGAATCTAGAATAGAATATGGCAGAACAGAATGGAATTGAATAGAACTAATAAACAGCACTGCCCTCGTGTGTCATCAATGATGTAGATGTGCGTAAGGTACAGAGAGGTTTTGACATCTAACTCACCGGAAATCTGGCTGTGGGCGGGACTGCTGAAGGGGGGCGTGTTGAGGGCGGGGCGGGGGTTAGGGGCAGGACCGTGGTGTGGACCGCACCGCATGGCACTTCGCCTCAATTGCTCAGAGAAAGCTAACGCGCCTGGCTTTACCGCTTCATCGGGCTTCTGTCGGTGGCCTGGACACACATACACACACACACACACATACAGAATGGAGATGAGGAAGAACGATTTAGTTACTGTCTGTCCGTTAACACAATCAAAGCCACTTAAAGACACACACAACATATACACCATGATCTGACCACACACACACTTCTGTACACCTCACTTCCTACTAATGATGTTGAATGAGCTTGTCATTGCACCAGTAGGGGGCGCTGTGGTGTCTAATGTGTGCGTGTGTCGTTCTGACCTCACACACAGAGAGCACAGTGGGACTAATGATCGCAGGTGATGAGAGAAAAAGGCAAACGGAAAGGAACAGAAAAGACGCAGTCACAGCTGTGTGAAACCATCAGCCGCACTCATCCGCACAGTCGTCGGCGCGCACGCGAGGAGAGGAAGTCCCGCTGAAATCAGAGAGCACGTCTGGGCGCTTTGAAGACGAGGCCAGCGCATCCCGCCAGACAGACCCAGAATATGCGGGGTGGCGCCGTCCAATGGATTCCCGACCGGAATAACGGACCAACGGGGAATAGACCCGCCACAGCCACCAACAGGAGAGCACAGCGTGATATGCGCTCATATAAAGACATGCTATTAAAACACACACACACACACACACACACACACAGTACACTAGTCTGACCAACAGACACTATACTAAAACCAATGATTCTGAAATATTCCAATAACGTGGCATACCAATACAAGTATTTAGGCAGGAGACACGCTTTCTAACTCAATATTAATGATAGTCCTGTTATTTTAACAATTTTAAACTTAGTAATAATAGTAATATACACTAGCCTATGTACTGGTTTGTAAGGGGCATAAACGTTTCCTGTGAACCAACATAATAATCAGACTTAAATCTCACTTGTTACTTGTTAAACTGACTAAAATCACAGTAGAGACAAAACGAAACCCCATCCAGCCACCAACAGCCAAACCACATCAAACACAAACACGTCCACAGCTTTGGGTTGCCATTTTACACTGATCAAATGAGAGTGAGAACTAACATAATAATAAAAAACACTAGTTGGAAGTACATATATCACATCTCTGGCCCCAAATAGTATTTTAACACTTAAAAGTGTCTTAAGGTCACATGACAACAATATACAATATATATTAGGGCTGCACGATATTGAAAAAACTCACATTGCAATATTTTTTTTCTGTGATATATATTGCGATATGGAGAAAAAAAATTAGATGACTTCAATAGCTTTATATTTGGAAAAAAATAATCAATGATTGGGGTGATTTTGTAGGCGAGTAAATCAGCATAGGAAATAAACTAATTACAAGCATAGATCAATAACAGAACAAAAATACAAATGAAATAAGCAGTGCTTTATATTTTTCAGGTAAGTCTAAGAGTATTCAGGTACAGAAATTGAATAATCAAATGTAAAATAACACTGCATAGTTTTCACTACAAATTAAATCTAACAAATCTGTGTTAAAGCTACAAAAGTGATTTTTCTTTGTGTTTTGTTGTTTGATTAACGTTCATGAACAGAGAAAGCAACAAGAACATTAAACTGCTGTGAACCAATATACTGTTAAACATCCATTTTCTTTCTCAATTGTTTCCCTTCACCTAAGCCATAAGCAACTGTGTTTACAAGGATACTTGCAGAGCACTGTATTTCATGCACAAATAGACGCAGAAGTGAACAGAATTCATTGTTCACGTGCATCTGCGTGACTCTCACCGTGTCTACACCGGACGCGAGCGGCACGGCGCGGTGCGATGCGACAAAATACAATAGAATCCATTATAATCAGTGATGCTGTCTGTCTGTGTCTACACTGGATGCGGCGCGACAAATCCTCGACAGTAAACTGATGTAACGTCTTTATGACGTACTGACACAAAGTTCAAATGATATGCAACGGTCGCTTTGTCGTGTCCAGTGTAGACAAACCTTGGGGCCGTTCACATGTTGCGCCTTAAAGGGGTCATACGATGTTGCTAAAAAGAACATTATATTGTGTATTTGATGTAATGAAATGTGTTTATGTGGTTTAAGGTTCAAAAAACACATTATTTTCCACATAATGTACATTATTGTTTGTCCTCTATGCCCCGCCTTTCTGAAACGCGTCAATTTTTACAAAGCTCATCGGTCTGAAAAGCGAGGTGTGCTCTGATTGGGCAGCTATCCAGTGTGTTGTGATTGGCCCGAATACCTCAAGCGTGTGACGGAAATGTTATGCTTCTACCATACTGTTATGCCGTGTCCCGGCCAGAGCGACGAGACAAAAACATTAAAACCCATTATAAACGAGGCATTTGTTGCATCCAGTGGGGACATAATTACGGATTATAATGACTTATACTGTCTTTTTACGCATTGCATCGCGCCACATAAATATAAAACCATGTCTGCATTTGTGATCGGAGAAATGACAAACAACAAACGCTACTCTGCACTGCTCAAAACTCTTTTGGAAGGCCAAACAAAGTAGTTTCACTTTCACAACAAAACAAACAGCGCATTCACAACATTGTGGCAGCAACAATACTACAGCGAGAATAAAAGTTACGCCTTCTTTATTTGTGTGAACATTTGGGCGGCGTTATGCAAATATTCCCACATCGTGACGTGGACATGTGGGGGCGTGTTAGAATGAGCCATTTTAGGTAGGCGTGGTTGACTCTTAACTTTTATAAAGAATATCTCTTTGGATTTGAGACTTTAGTCTTTGCAACTTTACAGATCTTCTTTATGCACCAAGAGCTTGTAACACTTCAAAGAGAAAGGAAAAATTGAAATCGCATCATATGACCCCTTTAAAACGCGTGGGGAAACGCCAGTCGCGCCGCTTTCTCCTTCTTTCCAAAGCGCTCAGGAGCTTGCGCTTTCGTGGCATTTGCCATTGCTAAATGACCGTGACCTGCGCTCTCCACGACGACGCTGAAGTTTCAACAAAGGATAAATGGATTTACAGCACTGAAAATCGCTTGCAGTAGCTCTACTACTAAACGTATTTAAAATGGGTATCTCTGTACAGCTGTCACGTCCGGTGTAGACACCGTGTCTGTGTGTGAGCAAAGAAAACAATCAGTATAAATATAACGATCAGTATACTAAACATCGCACATCCTGCGATGTGACTATCGCGGATATATGAATTTATATAGTTGAATTACTGAAATAAATGAACTTTTCCACGACATTTTAATTTATTGAGATGCACCTGTAAATATACATACACACACACAAAATATAATGTTTTGTATATTTATATTTGCATGTGTCATCACTCACGTCGTGGTTCGCGGGGTCCGTCTACAGTAATCTTTATGGCTCTCTGATACGTGGCCACCTGAGGAGGGTTTGTGAAGACAGTGATGGTGAGAGTGAAACTCTTCCCTGAAAAATACAGACAAACAAACAGGTTAGAAATTCACCATTTGCAGGATATATTTAGCACTTCTTCACAGGATATATTTATTAGTAGCTACATGTGAGGAGTACATATTTAAAGGAGTGTGAGACAGTAAAACACAGTAAGCGAGAGGGAAGTGAGTGTGTTTCTAGATGAAGACGACGTGGCTGATCTATCATTAAGATGCTTGTCATCATAAGTGGCCGTGTCACAATAAAAACCCCACAAGCAGATGCAAAAGGGAATTTAAAGTCACCTTTGTTGTGTCCTTAAACAGAGACAAAGTTCAGACAGTACAGTGGAGACACGGGCCAAACAGCATCTCATTTGACCACATCCCCAAATAAACAGATGACACATGGACAATTTCAAAAAGACAGAGTGAGAGAAAGAGAGTCAGAAATAATACAGTGAGCTATCGAGAGGAGCCGCGACACAAAGACAGACAGATTTGACATGAACTGACACCAGCACACACTTACCAATAAAAACAACCAAAGAGATGAACCATAAAATCAGAAAGTATAAAAGTAATTTCCCATATGAAAGTAAAGACTTTTTGGGATGTTGAAGAATTAATTAATTAATTAAATACATTTTTTAATCATGTACTTCTTTTGATTTATAGTCATTTTTATTTAAATCATTATATTTCAATAATGAGATTTATAACTTAATGAAATCCTGACCATAAAAAAGCAAAGGAAAACATTAGGATACATTACAAAACATTATATAACATGCTTAACTGTAATATAAATAATGTTGAAATGTAAAAATTATTCATGGTACAAAAACAAGCTTAATTTTCTTTTATGTAAAATATAAAATTAGATTTTTGGATGAAATATTTTCATGAGGTTTACCCAAGAAACATTTTTCACAAGTCACTGCTGCCTTTGACGATAGCAAGACTATTATTATTATTAATGTTGCACGTTATAACCAATAACACATGATTCCAGTGAGTTTATGGATGCAATGCCCAATCAGAAGTATTTAGATTAGTCATTGCTGAAACACTAGTTTTGTTGTTCAGTGTGCTTGCTCACTGAGTGACTTCTGCTCTCTCGCAAATTCTCACATCATAAACCACAAAGAGAAGATGCGCGTGCGATGTAAGTATAAGAGATTTATTCATCATACAGTGTAGACGGCTTCACTGATTATAACGGGAGTGTTTTTTGAAGTGCATAAACCCACGCTAGACTAAAGTCAGTGATGATGTTCTTTGCTCATTTTCTGTAGCTGCTGTTTGAAAAACTGAGGAAACGTAAACATTAAAATTAGTAACTTAAAATTTTTATATTAAACTGTTATCATGTTAAATACAAATGCAGTCATATTAAAAATATTTTATGACATGCTACTTGACTAAAAAAATATAATGTGTAGTTAATAGATTATACTAACATTAGGCTGCTTTTAGCCTTACCCTGGAGTGGGTTCACTCTCCGGCTATGAAGTAAGTAAATAATTGAATAAATAAGCATGATAATATTGTGAATTGGCGATCTCACAGGCTGATGATAGGATGATATGACTATGGAACAAACTCACACAAATTATAATGAGATGCATGATTTTAGTTGCGTCTCATGCTTTGACTGACATTATGAGGCGAGACGTGCATATGTGCCAAATGACAAACTGAATTTGACTACAAGGATTATGGGAACTGGGGTCTGTACCCACAATTCCTGATGCCTTCACCTGTCACTCATCACTATGACGATGAGAAGGACCCCAGGGAGGCGGCCGCTTGCGTGCCAACATCAGGTTTGATTTACATGGCACTAAATTGGCCTAAGTGCTCCAGCCAAAGCAAGGTATGGTTACACACACACGCGCTAGTTGTTATTCAGCCAGAAAAACAGAGCTGGGAAAAACTCCAAGCTGTTCCCCAAAATCTGACAAACTAAGAGGTCTGACCACACACATATGCACAGATGTGACACGCACACACAAACACGGGCCACGCCAAGGATCAGGTGCTATTCTGAGCGCAGTCGCTGTGACAACACCGATCCACTTCTGTCTGCCATGACCTCACACACAAACAACACACATCACATCCAGGAAAACACACTTAAAACGCTGTAATACTGCACTAATGATTTATGAGAAAATGTTCAGAACATTCGGTTTTAAAAACAGTACCATGGTATTGTCATGGTACCCCATATCATGGTATCATTTCCAAAAAAAACTGGTAGTATGTATGTCAAAAAGCAGTATTACTGTGTTTTTTTTTCACCCAGCAGCATATATATATATATATATAGTAATGTTACCATAGTACTTCTTTGAAGTTTCTTGGACTACCATGACAATACCATGGTATTTGGACACATTACCATGATAATACCATATTTTTGGACATGCAGTATGGTATTAGTATGCCATTAAATTGAGTACCTTGAAGTCAGTATCATGGCATATTTCAGATCTGATACCATGCTCCATTTATATGACCCATTTTTAAACATTTACTTACATTAAATTAAATTACATTATCATACCATGATATTTTTTGTAGCTTGTGGAGCTATGTAAATACACTGGTATATGAATATGGTAATCATTCTATAGTACCATTTTTATATGAATTCTTAAGAAATATAAATGCAAAACACTGACTCATCTCTTCCTGTCTAACACACTCATTACAAAACCTTTTGCACTAACACACACACTTACACAGAGTGTGGTTCAGTGGTTTAGCGTCTGGATGGGAGACGTTCTGTCTGAGAGACTCACTGCCCAAACAGGGAGGAAGTGCAGAGCGTTTCTCAAGGGGATGTCCCTACATAGTGTGTGTGCATGTGTGATGTGGGGGAATTTGTTTATAATTTGTTTATATGTGTCTGTTTTGTAGAGTACTGTACAGTATGTGGGTGTGAGCACGGACAAATGAAACTCAAAAAGCAAGAAACTTTATAAATGTGTGCATGAAAATGTGCCTGAAAACATCAAGTGACTCATGATGCTGCGAAAACAATATTAGATGGACAAAAAAGCCACATAGATGCAGTCTTTGTTGTCTTATCTACACGTCTACATAATACAGAGTAGCAAGAGTGTGTGTAGATATGCATAGTTTACATTTCTCTCTTACCTAACACGCTCTTGCTGTTTCTTCTCGACCTGCACTCTTTTCCGGCACTAAACCTAATCACTTCCATCGCAGCAGAGTGCAGCTGCTCTCGCGCTCACAAACACGCTTGGATAAACAACAGTCTGTGAGGATATGCATGTCTGAAATTCACTGAAAAGCAAGACTTTCATGCAGTAAAAATGGACAAATATGTTTTGTTTAACAATCCGGACTAAACATTTATGCTTTTCTTTGTAAACAAACTCAGTTTCCATTTTCAATGCATGTATTCTGCACTCAAAGCATGCAAGCACACCTGCTGCAAACATCAACTTAGTTGCCTCTATTATGCTGTGTTCAAATGATGACACAGACAAAAGAGAGCAGGACAAAAGAGTGTGTATGCATTCATATATTTATCGCAGGTCTGGACATGTAGATTAAAAGCAGTCGTGTTTGCGTTGAGGACTACATCAGTGAAATCACATCGGGCCTTGAATAGAGCCCTGCGGGACCCCTAGTTTTCCCAGAAGCCAGTCATTGTGTTGACTAACTACTCTGTCATTACAGAAGCTGGACGATTTATACATCATAAATACTGTAAGAAGCCACTCCTCATTTTCTCACAAGTAACATTTTTGGTGGTTTAAATATCTAAAATACAGGCCACAAAAATGGCATTGCTGTGCTCTGTTACCACAGTGAAGTGGTTCAAAAATCAGATGGTGGTACAAAGGGCTGGATGGCTAGCAAGTGTACATAAAACCTTGTGTTTTAAATAGATAAGATCTGCAGTATTTGACTGCCCCGACCACCTGCCACAGGAAGTGGAAGCGACAGGTAACGGTATGTGCTGATGTGTTTGAGCACAATATCAAAACACATGGGAAAACATACACATTTAACCAAGCATGTACACACATGCAGACATTGACATTAAAATATATGTGTCACGGCTCAGCGGTGAGTCTGATGTGTGTTTCCTTTTCTCAAACGTTTATGTCTAAGTGAGAAGGAGTGAATTTATTAAGCATTATATGCATTTTACCTCGTCCACTGCGGCCAACGAAACGCAGATCATTAAATCGGGCCACTTGGTTCTTGATGGGGGCTGTGGCGTTCCGAAGTTCAGCAGAGTAATTCTCATCGTTGCCGGCCATCACTGTGACCAATGTTCCGTCAGTGATGTCACCAAGGGCAACCACCTGTCAACCAATGAATGAGGAAGATATGTTAGATACGTTTAAACCTGTCAAAACTGCATTTAATAAACAAACCAAAAATACAATATATGACAATTATCACACTACGTCAAAATTGTCAATGAAGGATGAATAATAAAGAAGACAAATGATAATATTAGCAAAATGATAAAATAATTAATTGATTTGATATAGCTATATGGTTTTGTAAGAAGTCTCTTGTACTCACCAAGGCTGCATTTATTTGATCAAATATTCAGTAAAAAGGTAATATTGTGATTTTTTTTTTTTGCATTTTAAAACTGTTTTCTATTTGAATATGTTAATATGTAATTTATTCTTGTGATGCAAAGCTGAATTTTCAACATCATTACTCCAGTTCTCAGTGTCACATGATCCTTCAGAAATGATTTATTTTTCAGGATTCCTTGATGAATAGAAAGTTCAAAAGAACAGCATTTATTTGAAATATAATTTTTGATTATAAATGTCTTGTCACTTTTGATAAATTTAATGCATCCTTGCTGAATAAAAGTATTAATTTCTTTTGAACACTATACAACTGAACATTATTTAATTGCAATTATATATTTTCTGTAACTTAACTATTATTATACTTAATAATCGATCTTATTTAAATACTTTATTACTAAGCAAAAACATTGGGCAGAGGGTGAAAATGAAAACCAAACAACATTCAAATCCTTTTTACTCTCCTGCGTCATGTCCACTTGCACAATATCTCCACATCTAAACTAAATGAGCAGGTTATTTGCATATTAACTGTAAATGTCAGCGCATTCTTCTGCTCTTTGTTTCAGAGCGCACACTTGCCTCACAGCACTTCACTCTGAATTTGTCAAGACTGGGTGGTTTGCATTTTTGCCGTCATTTGCCAAATGTAAAAGATGATGATGATGATGATGATGATGATATTGCAGTCACCCGTGATGACAGGAGATTAACAACAATTACTGACGCTTCCCGCCAAATCATTAGCTTAATTAAGGATGTGCATTAAAGTCCAATGTGAGATTGTAGGATTTTAAAATGTCCTTGAGCTTGAGAAAAAAATACTTCTTCATATTGCCCAATATTATTAAACAATTAGATGTCACTGAAAGACAACAGCGGTCTGTGGTCAGCTACCTTGAAGGCGATGGGCAGAGTCTTGTTGCAGCGCCAGTGTGTTGGCAGGACAGAACAGAGGAAATTGGGGCTGTCAGTGCGCACCAGCTCTCCTGGGTGGTCGGAAAGCACCTCCACCATGCTTCGGTCAGCCATGCGCAGTTTGCCCACCAGGGCGGCGCTGCTGTTCTCCTGAGCCCCTAGGGGCAACCCCTCATTCATCTTCCCCGAGCTCAGGGTGGTTGAGGGAGGCGTGAAGCGTCGCCCAGGCGCAGGTTCTGAAACACAAATGTGCATTAGGCTTTTTACTAAACGTATAGAAATAAATTACTCAATAAGAAACATTTTACAATATATCACATTTGCAAAAAGTAAATCCCATATGTGGCATTGTGGCATTGTTCAGCACTGTATTACTAGGCAGAATAAATACTTCTAGTAAAATTGACACTTTCGGCCTGAATTACAGTGATTTTACTTTGAGTTGGGCCACAAAAACAAAACATATTGTTGGTCGCAACCTACAGTATATCCGAGTGGTTTCAAAAAATTTATTTTAATATATATATATATATATATATATATATATATATATATATATATAATTTTATATATGTTTTTTTTATATGCAAAAAGTAAATCCCATATGTGGCATTGTGGCATTGTTCAGCACTGTATTACTAGGCAGAATAAATACTTCTAGTAAAATTGACACTTTCGGCCTGAATTACAGTGATTTTACTTTGAGTTGGGCCACAAAAACAAAACATATTGTTGGTCGCAACCTACAGTATATCCGAGTGGTTTCAAAAAATTTATTTTAATATATATATATATATATATATATATATATATATATATATATATATACAATTTTATATATGTTTTTTTTAAAGAGCCCCAAATCTAAAGTGATTTATTATTTATTAAACATTGTCATCTTAAATGAAAGCAATAAGACACTTCGTCCCCTTGGAATTATAAGGTTCTAGCTGACATTTTTGTCAAAATTGAGTTATTCACATATTCTTATTCTGTGACAGCTTATTTACATTATGTGATAGATTTTTAAATGTTGTGTACATTTTGGGACTTTTTATAAAAAATAAAAAAAAATGTTCTATCTACACAGTCGAATGGAACGTAAAAACTTTGAGGCTCAAAATCTCAAAACTACTCGGAATGCAGATAGAACCTTATAATTCCAAGGGGATGACTTTCTGCCATGTATTACAGTGATTTTACTTGATCGGGACACAAAATGACTACTTAACCCTAGTAAAATAATGCTAATGCATGGATACAATTAGAAAAATTTACAATATATCACTTTTGAAAAATTAAGTATGAGATGTTGCATTGCTTAGTACTGTATTACCAGGCATAACAATCGTTTCTAGTATAATTGATTGCTTATTAAACATTGGTATCTTAAATAAAGGCAATAAGACACTTTCAGCCTTGTATTATAGATATTTTATTTACATTTTTTTACTTAACCATAGTAAAATCACTTCAATGCACAGCTTCTCATGCCTTATTCCTTCATTTACATCCTATGTTACTGCACAATATCTCATTTTATGCAGCTCTGCTCAGTGTATGCTTCTACGTTTTTAGTTTTTGTCATGCCCATAAACTAAATAAAAAAAAAATAATAATTTCTAAGCAACTTCTGGTGCCCATGCAGCAGCAGCAGTGTCTCGCAGGCATATGAAAATATTAAAACCGTCAGACAGCGCTGTGGCCCACAATCATTCAGCCAACCACAATCGATGCCACATGAGTGCGGTTACACACGTTACAGCGCTGCGCACAGTGAGCCACTGCGTTCTCTCCAAACCCACTGCCCAATATAAACACAGACACAGTCACTACATCAGGCTAAAACTGGAGTTTGTTGACGGGTGTTTGGGGTGAGTGAGACGAGGTGTAGAAAACTGAGAGAGAGATGCATTTTAAGACAGAATGCACAAAACACAGCACAAATTCGGGAAGCCATACACTGACATACATAGGCAGACATATGAGACTTTGAAAATAATGAAAATGCAAAGACTTATTGTTACAGCACAGTATGTGGGATGAAAACTAGATTTTTAAACAATGTCTTCTTTTGTTCTGAAAACACATCTATCAAGCTCTTAAAAATATAATTGATATAATCTAATCTTTATATTCAAGTCATTTTCAAACATTTTCTACACACATTCTGACTTAATGAAAGTAATTTTCATAATCACAGACTAATATAATAATTGTTCAATCATATTTTTCCAAGTAAAAAAACATTTACATAACATGTAATATCATACATGAACATCAAGAAGATTCCATTTGACCTGAATATAAATTAAAAAAGGTCAAATGCAATATTAAAAAAAATATAATTAATGATGTTGACACACAGTCAGGAGGGTCTATGGAGGTCTTCTCTCTCTCTCTCTCTCTCTCTCTCTCTCTCTCTCTCACACACACACACACACACACACACACACACATTTGACAACATAAGGATTTCCATCATTTTGGTTGCACTACACTGACTTTAATTCACTTGACATTTTTAAAAACTTAATATTTTTTAACACTACTCAAAAACTATAAATATCAAACTTAATTCAGGAATTTAAAAACAAGTTTATCATGGAACATATGTACTTCTGTTACAAAAAATAGTTGTTTTTTCGTGTAAATATGTTGAATGAATTTCTAGATCAGCTTATTTGTTCTGACCTCTCATATTTAATCTTATTTTAATCTCTTTCCTATTCAATGACTCAAACTGAATACGTTTTTCATAAACTTATTTATTTTTTGTTCATTTTGCTGATTAATTTCTCATTTTAACGCAATTTCGTTTGTGTTTTGCTTATATATGTTTTTTTCATTACAACGGCAGTTTTTGTCGTGCCAATAAAGCAAAGAGAACTGAAGTTGAGACGGAGTTCTGCAGTGTTTTTGACTGTCACATTTGAGTTTGTTGGAATGTCACATTTACCTCATGGTTTAGGTGATGGTTAAAGGTTTCAGTTATTATCAACAGCTATGAACATGCAGGCATTATGAAACCTTACGCGTAAAAATAGACTCGTGAAACCGCCGTTACGCAGAGCTGAGAAACGCTCTTACCGTATTTGGCGTCCCAAAGAAAAACCATTTGGTATGTTTTGAACACCCTCTCAGTCAGGATCAGAATCCAGGGCTCCAGACGAGCTGCTGATTCGGACGCGCACGGATCAAGGGTACGAGCTCAAGGGCGACGTGGAAAGTTCGCGCGTCTTACTATCCGTTTGGTGATGTGGAAACCCTGCCGTTCAGTCTGAACTGAACTCTAAGCAGTTTATGTAGCTGTTGTTCCTCTTTCAGCAGGAGTCATCAGAGAGGATGATCTAGCGCTTGGGTATCCTTGAGAAAGTGTGCGTAAAGTCGCGCACCTTACTGACCGCGCACCTGACGCCAACGCTGTCAGTCTTTAACTGTCTAAAAAGTGCATTCAGTCTATTCTATAAAACTGTAAGCTTTTGGGAGAAAGTATTCTTCCCGAATCCAGAACGCGCGGTCGCAATGAGAATGATGATGCGTTGTGAATGAATCTCCCGGCAGCGACGCGCTTTTACTGGCAATGGGCAGCGCAGGAACGCCAGCCAGGAGAGCTCATTGCATACGCCTCCCCCCTAAACGTTCTCATTGGTCAGCGATGACAGACCTCGACGGGCTCGACCAATCAGAAGACCGTCCGAATCGGGGGAAAAAAAGGATCTGAGCAGTCAATGGAATTCCTTTCCAACTCGTCAAATGGTTGATTCATTGTTGAATTTTGTTCAATTGTTGATTTAATTTACTTATCAAATGGCAGATGCAATGTAGTGTGAACTAAAACCAAGCAGTTTGTTTAATTAGATTATATTCTAATCATTTTTTAAAAAAAAGGATCTGAGCAGTCAATGGAATTCCTTTCCAACTCGTCAAATGGTTGATTCATTGTTGAATTGTTCGGATTTAATTTACTTATCAAATGGCAGATGCAATGTAGTGTGAACTAAAACCAAGCAGTTTGTTTAATTAGATTATATTCTAATCATTTTTTGTTTTACATTATTTCAAGAAATCATGTAAACATTTTTAAAAAAAGTTTAAGGAACATATATAATGGATGGGGGGGATGTAAGTTCGTTTTATACCAGCAGATGTTGTTTTCTGTTTTGTCAGAAGAAACATTATATCAGCAGAACAAGAAGAAAAGTTCCAAAACACCATCCTAACCTGATGTGATGCTAACTTATGACTTATGTGATGCTAACAAAGCATGCAAGCAAATTTCCATTATAGCAGCATTATTTAACAGCAAAACAATTGCTGACACAAATAAACTCTGTCCAAAAAAACCCAAAAACAAAATTAAAATAAAAAAGCAAGAAAATATTCATTCCAGTGAAAAGTCAAGACATCTAAATAAGTACTATCTAGAATTATTTATTCTAAAAAGAATGAAAAAGACTCAAAAAAGGGGATAAATAAAAGAAAGAATAACTGCCTGATGGAAAGTGACTCAGTAATGATCTAAAGTAATGTGTTTTGTAGCCAAAAGGGGGCAGCAGACGATCTACATGGGCCATGTGGAGTCTGTTAGGTCCTGATACAGAATGCATGAAGTGGAAATGGAGAGTAACACCGAAATATTTCGTCATCTTTCAGTAAAATGAACAGAATGTGAATTCATCTGAAAGATCATGCCATCACAAAAGACTGACAATTATTTAAAGAAAGTGTGGTACCTATCTGAAATGAGGGGATTTTTAATTGTATTATTACATGTTTGGTAAATAATAATAGTAAATAATTATAAACATGGGATGGGAGGCCTAAATACAGAACAAGTCTGGCTAATTACAATAAATGTAAATACTGCAGTCAATACAGCATTGTCAAGAATCCCGGTTGATGCAAAATTCAGAACTTTTACATCCATCATTATCAGAAACAAATTTACAAATTTGCCTGCACTTGATGAAAGGACATGTTAAATAGAGCAACATCTGACGGATTCTTCAAAAGGGCTGTAAAGCAGCAAATGCTGCAAATTCCCAAGATAAAGTTGCATTAGTCATATCTAACAGAGTCAGAGTCATTCATAACAATAACACAGAGAACTAAAAGATCTTGTTCTCTTCTGGTTACAGCCAGGGCATGATTCATTTGTTAAAATGTAAAGACCTGCTTTATGAGGTCTGTGCTATTCCCGTCTCATCTTCCTTGTTGTTTGTACTGAACATGAAACACAATACAAAATGCAAATTCTGATATCAGGCACAGTAATGCAAACGCGGCCTCTGTACAAGCCATCCTGGTTATTACACTAAGTATGCTCGAGTCAGTCTTTTTCGTTTTGCTCTGAAATTTGTCTTATTGTAGACAAATGTAATGCATTTCAGTTCAACTGAAAATAAGGTGGCTTCTTTTCTGAGTTTAAATGTCAAAACATCTTTGTGGATTGATATAGTGAAGGACAAAAAGATGCGTTTATAAAAACATTCAATGTCATTTTCAATTAAACTTTTCAATGTATAAATAATCATGTTTGTAGCTGTGATGTACATGTGTTTAAAACCTACAGAGTAAAAATATTGCTACTAACATTAAAATAATAATTTAAGTATATATATATATATATATATATATATATACACATACACTGTATTGTATAACTTACTGATGAAATACGTCATATTAGATCTCTAATCATATAATGCATATAATTATAATATATAGTCTAAGTCATAATTATTTTAAATATTATTTAGAACATAATACTTAATAATACATAATATGATAGTTTTGTAAAAGTGCAACATTTTATTCAGTTATTATAAATAATAATTTTGGATCAGTATAGTCAAAGCAACCAAAGCAGAGATAACGGCTGAATCTGAAAGCAAAGATCAATTCCAGGGAAAATAATATAACCTGCACGCCAATCATAAATGATTTTCTAGCACAAAGGCACCGCAGGTCTTAGATGTGCAGGATCTCGGTCTTGTGTTTTACTGATTTAGAGTAATCTGATCTCTGAAAGTTGAGCAATCAATAGCGCTTGTAGTCGGCTATAAAATATATTGAAAAGCGTTGCAGGGTTACAAATATCTGATCTTGTTTGGTCGAGCCATTGGAGGAAGAACAATATAATTCTATACAAGAACAGCAAACAATTTGATACAACCAGTTTCTTCCCTCAAAAATATTTCCTCTAAACTTAATACAATAATTATAATTGGACCTTCAGAAACATTTCCACGAGGCAACTGCAGTGTAGCAGCAAAACGTTTCAAGGAAGCAAACAAAATACATGCTATAGGCACTCTAAATATGATTTCAGGTGTCATATATATATATATCAGACTGTCATCATTAATGTCAGAATATTTGTATTTGGTTAACACTAATAATAGGCATTATGCAAATAAGATAATTTAATATTCTTATGAAAAGAAAAACAAAGGCTTGATGGTGCACAAGCTCACACAATGAAGATACATGAAGTTGTTGTTCCCTATTTCAACAGTTCCTCTTTCACATTCTAAAGTGGTAAAACAAGAGAAACTACTGACGACAAAAGGAAAAAAACAAAACAATGGATGATGTGATTCATGGAGAACGAAAGTGAGACGAAACTGACAAACTAGAAGAGTTTTGTTTTACCAAATAGTGTGTTGCTGTTTCGGCCCTTCCTCATGAAGTACATGGCCCATGAGAGCGGTCCGGACGCTTTGAAGGGGCCTGAATTCATTTCGAGCTGTTCTGATTCAATCCAGTGTCTGAAATATGGATTCCCTCCTTCACCTTGCTGCATTTATACCCTCGTGTCTCCCACCACCCTGCTCCATATTACACAAAATACAGATTAGAAGAAGAGGCGACGGAGGAAAAGTTGACATGCAGTCAACACTAATACATCCCATCAGTAACCATGGCCTCAGGAGACAGGCCCGTCTCACTGCCCCGGGGCACTTCTAACCTGCTAATTTCATTTAGCCACTGATTTTTCCCTCCTGTCTCATTCATTCTCCATCTTGATGCAGTGAAAATGGTGAAATACTGCATAAGAGAGCAGGTGAAGTGTGTGAAGACGGTCTTGTGAACTCTTGAAAATAAAGGTATAATGTAAAAAAAATTAAGAAACAAAATAAAAGATAAAGTTTTGACTTTCATTTTTGAGTTGAAAACTTACTGATAGGTTCTTCAGATCAGTGTTTTGGTTTCTGGGTTCTTTAAACCACCATTACATGGTTTACTGGAAATAGTGAAAAAATAGTAAAAATAAATAAATAATAATAAATAAATGTATACTTTTTTCAGCAAGGATGCCCTAAATTGATCAAAACTGACAGGAAAGACATTTATAAACTAACGCTGCACTTCCGCCGCGATGTAAAAGGATAAACAGCGCAAGTCGCTTGATCCATTCAGATGTGACACAGGATTGTGTTATACAGTCATGTGATATGGGAACATTAAAGGTTCTGTACACTGTAAAAAATAAGTGTAATTTTAACTGTAAAAGTTTGTGAAAACACTAAGGAAAAAAACTGTTAATAGGTTAACAGTAAGTTCCCGTACTATATACAGGGAAAAACTGTAAAATATCTAACCAGATATTTCATGTAATTTTACAGTAAAATGCTGTTAATGTTACAGTTTTTAGAAGTAAAAATAACAAATCAATGTATAATTTACAGTCAAAAACTGTAAACTGATATTCCCTGAATTCCCTGCATGACACTCCACATTTGAAAGTATTTAGTTTAAATAATCATGTTTTTTTTAGTAGTTATGTTACATCTTCTGTTGTTTAATGAAAGTTTAATGCATTATTTAAGTATCATGTGTGTTACCATGATGGTGTTTTGTGTTTGCATGAATGACTCTGTGCACCTTCTATATATTAGTTTATACTTCTACTTGTGGCGAAGCTACTTGTGATGAGCTTTGATTCTTCATGTGGCTTTCTCTTTTACCAGCTGCATTATTATGGTGGTTGTCAGTATGTTAAAGGTACAAAACAGATTTTAATAGCAGTGTGCATTGTTGAATTTACTGATTTACATTCAAATTTTCTTGTTTGTAAATTACAGTTTTATACTGTACATTTTACAGTTTTTGGCCATAAATGTGTTTACAGTTTTTCTGTATTTTGTACAAAATTATTCTGGCAACCACAGCTGCCAAAATTATTTTGTAAAAACTACAGAATTTATTTTACAGTGTAGTGATGCTAGCTGAAAACAGCCACGACAATGTAAACTGCATGACGAGGTAAACTGGAAAACGCCAATAATTACAAGCTTCTCAATTCAGCACCATAGTAATTTAACTTGCAGTTATTAACACTGTACAAATAGCCCTTATGGTCTTTTGGCAGAAATGTATTTATTATAAATATTACTGTTATTACATATATTACATATGGAATATTTTACTTTTATAGAAGCTGTTTTTGTAGTTTCTACATTTTTTTTATTACAAATGCCATGGTTTATTATTGCTTATTATCTATGGTTATTATGCTTATTACCTAATGAGGACCATGGTTTTA